GCTGATTTGCCTGTTGTTCAAACCAATCCAAACCAACTCAAACCTGGTCGGTTTGGTTTGAATAACGGATCCTTATTCAAACCAAACCGGTTTGATTTGAAAAGCAGATTCTTATTCAAACCGCCCTTATTCAAATCAAACCGGTTTGAGTCGCGATTTGATTTGAATAAGCCGCACTCTAGTGCAAAGGTAGACCAGGAGCCTCTCATCGCAGATCGCTAGCGTTAATAAACAGTTTGTTTCGTTAACAGCCAGCCGCCCCTCATCACCCGGGACGAGAGCAGCTGCAACTTTTTCACCTTGTCTCCTACCCACAGATCTGACTGCAGATGTCCGGTTTAATTCCGCATAGACAAGCATGACAATCATGTGATTTACGGCGGGAGGTAGAAAGCGAGGGAGAGAGAGAGAGAGAGAGAGTGAGAGAGAGAGAGAGCGAGTGAGAGAGAGTTTTTGGTACATGGAACGTGTCCAGGGGCGTATGTTCCAGAAGAAACAAAATTGGCTATAAACGGATCAGCGCGCAAAACGGGAAATCTTGTGACTAACGTTTTCCCCTGGCTACCGTACTACCTGATCCAAAAAAAAAACTTGTCAACAAGATCAGAATGCCCAAAAATCTTCAATAACGGTAAGGACTGCTATAAGAAAACTTCTAAATTTCATTGGAATTGGTAAAAGACCGTAGTAGTGGAATACCATAACCCTAAAAAATCTGAAAAAGCAAAAAAAACTTCCTAAAAGCACAAAAAAACTTTCAATTTTGCAAAAAAAAACGTAGAAACTCACAATTTCTATCCGACTTTGTTGAACTCAACATGAAAACTTGGGAAGAGATGACAGGAATACGGTATAACTAACGTATTGGGTGTGGATAGCTCCAATTTCGACTTTGCACCTGACGTTAATTACACCCTTAAAAGCGGGTTCAAACCAAAAAATTCACCAAGCGTTCCCGATGCGCAACAAAGAAACCAAAAGAAAAAAGGGAGCGCCCTCGCTTTCACTCCGATTTTTGTCCGCATCATTAGCCGGCTTTTCAAAAAGGCAGTGATCTCGGATATACGTAAAAAGACTATACGATTTTTGGTTATAGGATCTCTGCTATTTTGTGCGGATTCAAATTACTTTAAGCGGGACTGTAGTCATTTCCGGTTTATAGAAAGAACCTAGAATGGTCTTACAAAGTTAACAATTAGGGATAATATAAATAAGGAATGACATTCAATTAAATAAATTATTTAGGTCATAATAATCGTAATAACTTATCATGCCATTAAAAAGCTACCGCAATTCAGATCATTTTGAGCTTTAGCAACCAGGCGACTATTTAAAAGCGCCCCTTCAGCGAAGTTTCTCAAAAACATTAAAACAGACCGCGACCAAGGAAAGATCAACCCACGCGAGTTTCGAACATTCCCATGGTATGCAAAAATAACCAGAAAACCCTCTCGGAATGGGACAAAAATAAGGTATTTTGGAAGGCTTTGCCACGAGCAACATGCGAAATCAAAAGCGGCTCGACCTCTTCAGCGACTAGGTCTTGACAGTTACGCGAAATTCCAAATTACTAAGACAGGATTTTTCTTTTTGCAATGTCGACATTTCGAATTTCGTGATGGCGAAATTTCATCAGATTTAAATTTAACGACGCCGAGATTCCATTGTATCGAAATTGAGAATGTTGTAATTGCATAGCCTCAAAAACTGATATGTCAAAGTTTCACGCAGCTGAAGTCGAGAATGTCCAGACCCCACAATGCCAAAAATACCTTAAGTTCGCAAATTCCATCATATGGTTTTTGATAAGCACTTGGTGGATTTCTGTAAGATTTCTTAAAGGAGAGCGTTACTGATGGAACACTCCGCATCACGAAATTCCAGCAATCTGGATTTTGGGACTTTGAAATTAAATTTTTGGGTCCAAGCCATGAATAATAAAACCCTGACAAGGAGTGCTATTTTTGAATCATCGGCAAAACCTTACGAGACCTAGCTCATTCGATAGAGAATTCAATTCTGAGCAAGTCTCCGTTGTCCTTTTCGCTGAATGGCTAACCCTGATTTTAAAAATTTTTAAAGCTGCACTCGAAAGCCTCTCTTTTCGCTCGAAAGGCACTCATGGTAAGAGACGGCCACTAGTATTTTAATTTTATAAAATCAGGGATAGCCATTCCGCAAAAAAGGACAACGGAGACTTGCTCAGAATTGAATTCTCCATCGTATGAGCTAGGTCTCGTAACGTCTTGCCGATGACTCAAAAAAGCACTCCTTGTGAGCAATTTTTTGCGTTTTCCGCACGCCCGACCTCCGACTCATTCCATAACCCTTACCAGAAGGGATCGACGATTTTCGACATTGCAATGCGCCCAATGTCATTAAACAAACGACATTTAGTCGGGGGTCGACCCGGGCGCCAATTCCTTGCCGTTAACGTGTTACCATAATTGCCAATTGGCTACATGTCGGCGAGCGGATCGGCGGCCCGAAAAGGCTTCCGCTTCAGTTCTTTGCTCATGGTTTGCGAGCAGAAAAACGAAAATGAAAAAATTAGTTATGAAAAGGCAAGTAAAAAAAATTAAGAGCAGCGCTACACGGCATTCCACGGAGGCACGGATAGGACCCCCCCGGGGCAGCGGTGCAATCGGTTAGCGCCGATCCCAAATCTCAAACGGAGGGTCCGGGTTCGACCCCCGGGACCAACGTGCAGCCGCTATTTCTCCCCAAAACCTTTGCCAAGCTTTTGCGTTTTGCTTAAAAACTGTGCTCCAGCCATTGAAAACTGCTAAAACAATAAGGATCTGGAAAAATTAACCCGACCAAAAAGAGACGGTTGATCCACTGGCGTACATTTTCGCAAAACAGTCACTTGGAGCCATTTTAAGCGTCGATTTCACGCACTGGGGGGTAATCGACCTTGATTTTACCAAATCTAGGCTCAGATTTCAGCGACAATGCTTGGTTTCTGCGCTATTTAAAATCGCACAAAATCCTGAACTGAACTTCAAAAGACCATCACAAAAAAGTACCAGAATAGATTTTCAATAGTTAGGGCTCAAAATCTGCGCCTTGGCGTCTAGTGTATTTAAATCTAATTGAGTTTCTAATTTTTCTATTACATTTCGAGAAAATCCAGTTTTGTCCGAAAGTTTGTTCATTTTCGAACAAAAACGTAGCGAGCGCGCTGTCCCCTTGTGCAAGGGAGCCTGCCGTAGCCCAAATGCTATCCGTGCCTGCCTGTTAAAGCCTGGAATGGCGTGGCTAATGCAAGAAGAATCAAATTACGAAGAAGAAAGTAGAGAACTTTCAGAGATACGATAAAGCCAAAAATAGTTTGCAAAACGAAAGAAAACTTTAACGGGTTCGGAAAGCTGTGATTATGGTTTTTATGGACAAAAACCCGAATTAATTATGCATGGAAATTCGGGTATTCGCGTTGCGTCGCACGCCAGGCCGGATCAGACAATGTTCTACTCCGGTTTTTCCACAGCCAGGCCTTTCCAGTTCCCTTAAAAGCAAAAAAAAGCCTGGGAAGCCTGAGATATCTGTAAAAAAATATGAACATCAATAGCCATATCAACAAAAACAACCCAAAAAACATGCGTCAAATTTTCTACCTGTGCCAGGTCCGTGCGCCAAAAATGTAACCCTTCTCACGCCAATGCAAAAAAAACGCGGTCGAAACTTTGCCCGCTAATTGTGAGAAAAGGGCTTGATCTAGCGTGTACGGAAGTACTTTCTCACCTACAGGGTTCTCCCTTTGGGTTCCTGTTTCTAAATATAAATAGCATAATTGTTTTTAATCTCTCCTGTACGATTCATAATACCATCTTTTTGCAAAAAAAAATGTTGAAAATATCGATTTATCGTCAAAAGTAGCCTATTTTCGTGCTGAATTGAAAGCGTTTCTAAGCATTTACATAATTTTTCCGCTTTCAATATAGCTAAATTTGACTACAAACTCTTTTAAACACTTACTATTCCGTTGCTAAGCATTTTTGGGCAGATAATAAAGCCGAAAGAGCCTTAATGGCATAAAATTTGTTCCGATCTTTATGCACCATAAAGCTCCACAAAATCACGCCCCAAAATCTTGGCTGCAGCAGCAATCGGTGTCGCTTTCAGCCAATGGTACGCTTTTGGCTCATTCATAGCTACGATTCACCGACCTTTTTAAATAAGTAAACGCTAAAATAACGGCCGAATTTGGACCGGGGCTCACTTTACCCGTGAGAGAATTGCGCCGTTTTTTCAGCATCCGATGTGTGTGTGCACATTGGTGCAATTGGCCCCGGTCCCCGACCCCCAGAATTCCAGGTAAAAAACAATACCAGACCGAAAAATTCGGCCTTGTTATGTGATCTTTAATACGCAAATTCGGTTGATTCTAGTAAACTGATAAGGAAAAACACTTTTTTTCGAACCTTGGATTTTGACGTGGGCCGAAAACTCTAAAAGACTTCTAGAATTTTGGTTTTTGAAATTTTAGCTTTTCAAAGTGAGCTTGTTTTTATTTACGCGAAATGCTGCTGTTTTCGAGTCTTTCGATGCCTTTTTGATTGTCTCCATTCCGTTACGCGCTTAAAAACCACCCCGGCGTCGTTAGGAGCGCTGCGTCGCCTTTACAGCTTGCAAAAAGAAGAAGCAAGTTACTTGATTGCTTGTCTAGGTTTTTAATGTTAAACCCATTACCGTAAGTTCCTTATGTGCCCCGAGCGTTTTTTGCAGCCCGCAGAATTATGCCATTTCCGGCGTCGAATCCCATTTCCCGGTTCTTGCCCGCAAACAAATTACGGCGGCACAATAACGGGCCGCCGCCGGATGTACCCGCGAACTTCCAACCCGGTGTATGGACCTGGATTTAATGTAAAAATAGAAACCAGAAATCTTAGAACAGAAGGGGGCTGTAGAAATTCAGGAAATTATTGTTTCAGCTGAATTCTTCGTTTGGAAAACAGAAAATCGACTTTTTTGCCTAAAAATGTTACGCTTTTCAGGGTATGGCCGGCGCGGATTCGTTTCAACTCGTCGTTCGCGATCTAGAAGCGCTCGATTGGTATCGCGAGACGCCGCTTCGAAAGCTCGGATATATTAGTCAGGTATTTATGGCTCTATTTAGTCCAAATGGGTGGTTAACAATGCGCGATTTCGATATACAGGCCCGTTTTTCGATATTTTGAAGTGGAAGTTGAAAATAGTGAAAGCCAAGCTTTTCCAAAAAATTTGTATAATGTGGGTTACGTTAATCAGTTATCTTTAGCTTTATTTAGCATGTAATTATGTGATTTGGCTCACATTAAAGCGTTTTTCAATGTTTGCATGCGGCAAAATGATCATGGCTTTAAGAAGATCAAGAAACCGATTTTTAAAGCACATTTTGAGAATTTAATAACAACGAACGTTCAGGTAGCCGAATCGCTGCGCCCGATCCTTCCGCGCTGGCTGTTCGCGATGGGCTACGTGACCCCGGCCTCGTACGTCGGCGCGATGGCCATGGATGAGCCGAGGAGGATGAGGGCGCATTTGAAAGTAGGGTTTTACGGTTATTAACTTTTTAATGCAATTCTTTTCAGCGTTAATTAAATGAAATTTAAAACCGTTAGCGTTTTCGATTACGGAATACAGGTATAAATCGTTGTTTTAGATGATTTTGCGACCGAAAATCTCAAAAAAAACCTTTTGAAACGAATGAAACACATACGTTTCAAATTTGAAAGTTTTGATTGATGTAAGCCCCGCTATTTGACCCATTTTCAGGACAAAAAGGTGCTTGACGCCCGGAGCACGCGTGCTCGCCTGATCCTCGACACGGCCGTGTGGCAGCTGCTGAGCAACCTGATCATCCCGGGCATCTTCTTGCGCCAAGTCTCCAAGAGATCCCTCCATCTACTGTCCAAGAATCGGAAGATGAACAACTGGGCCAAGAAGTCCATCGCTTGTGCCATCCCCTTGGCCACGATTCCGATCATCGAGCGACCCATTGATGCGGCTGTTCAGATGGGACTCAACTCGACGATTCGACAATATTGGCCGCTGCCGAAGGATCGATAAAATACTATTGTATTTAGTCTAAAAATAATTCTAGAATGGCTTTATGAAAACGACGCTATTTTTGTATTTTTTTTTTGCAAGTTAGGCTTCATTTTGGGCTCTTTCAACGCCTAATTAATGCTTTTTTGTAGTTTGTAAGCTATTAAGATCGGGAAATAAGCTAGTTTCTTTTTAATGAAGCTTAGAATTGTTTTTAAATGTGTTTTCACCCTAATTAAAATTGATGCCAGATTTGCTTTATTCGAATTATTCCTGCTTTTTTGCAGGTTAGGCTGAATTTTTCTGCTAATTTTCCTCCATTAATGCTTTCGTAGTCTGTATTTATGATCTCTAGGAATTGGCAACGGGTTTTTCGTGTATTTAAGAAAGTGCCAAAGTTTTTGTTTGCAAATAAATGGGTTTAATCGATCGAAACTACAATTTTCATGGAAAAAACACCAAATTTACAGTTTATCCAGAATCGGGTAGAAAGAGTCAGAAAATTAATTATTGGCTCAAAAGTCATCGCCGCTATCTCCCTCCCGGGGCGCCATCTCGTCCTCGACGTCTTCAAGCTACAAAACAAGTAGCAAATTTGGCGGCATAATCGACAAAAACCGATTATTTAAATTTAATTAAAATTATACGAGCTAAAAACGTTACCTCCAAATGCTGCACCGGTTTTCGAGAACGGCCAGCGGCCGGAATTCGGTCTTTCATTGCCCTAAAAAAAATATATTTAGTAGCATTAATAATTTTATATAGCGGGTGTAAGGTTTGCTAAAATTTAAAAAAAATACAAATGGCTTCGAGTTGAAAAGGAATTCCTTACCTTCCATGGTCAATTTCCTCATCTCCTTCGCTAACATCCACGTCATCATCACTGTCCTCTTCCTCATCCGAGAAACCGACACCCATCATGTTACCATAGATACGGCGAGCTCCTAAGAATCAGCGTTATGGATTTTTTCTAGCATAATCAATAAGCTTTGTCTAAGAAGAATCCATCTATTAAAAGGTTGTGTTTTTATCCCCAACCTCCAGTCGGTCGCATCGCTTCCGGCTCGTCGTCCAGCTCGGAGACGTCAATGGGCGGGGCCTGGTTCGCGTTGTCGGTGCGCATCTTTTCGACGACCTAAAAACATGAGTATCGATAGTAAAAAGAATATTTTTTTTTCCTAAAAGATCTTTGCTAGCCTGCCCCGGGCCAGCGAGATCAGGCTCCTAAAGAATCTCTGCTGGCTTGCCCAGCGATGAAAGTATTTGGATTGAATTTCTCAATGATCTGTGCTAGCCTGCCCCGGTTCAGCGAGGCCGGGGTCCTAAAGAATCATTCCTAGCTTGTCCGACGCTTTGGAAACTTGGGCACGCCGGGCTAGAAGTTTTGAGCGCGTTCTATATCTTCAAAATCTCTGCTAGCTTGCCCAGCCTAAACTGTCGCCATTTCCTAAGAATCTCTGCTAGCCTGCCATACGCCCAGAAATTTTTGGCTTTTTATCGGGTTTTCGGATCCCCAAAGATTCTCTGCTAGTTTGAGTATCCTCCATGGGAGCCTGGCTTACGCTCAGATTTTTGACCTTTAATTGTGTTTTCGGGTTCCCAAATGGTCCCTGCTTGCCTGCCCGCCGTGGCAACCTTATATCCTAAATAACCTCGGCTGGCTTGCCCCTTCTAGCTGCATCAAATTGACTGAAACATGACTAACCTGTCTCATGTTAGTCTCAGTCTCGGCTTGTCTCTGCCTGTCTGCCCTCTCCATCTCCACCATCTGCAGTTGTAGATACGACAAGTTTCGAAACTTCAAGACGTAGATATCATACAGTTGCTTCAGTTTCGTCTCGTACTTCTCGTACTCGTCCATGTATTGAGGGCGGAATGACTGGAATGGGATTTTAATCGATTCCGCAATGGTCTCTGCTGGCTGCCCCTCCAAATTTACCTGCAGCTTCGCCAGCCGCTTCTGCATCTGCTCGTATTCCCTGCGTTTTCTCTCAATTTTCTCGTCAAGCGCCTTTTCATCAGAGGTAACGTTGTTGAGTTTATCCTCCGTTTGGGTGGCCAATGTCGAAAGCGCTGTGGTAGCATTTCGGAGTGCTTTCTCGGCTTCTGACGGTGGGAGGGCACGGGATAGAGCACGGCTACGGTCGGCCTAAAAATTTAGCTATGCGTCCTTAAAGGTGCTAGGAAGTGTGCGAATCGAAGCCTTATATAGACTAGGTCACGACGGCTACGTGAAGCTCCAAAAGACGCTGGTTCTATCGTCCTAAAACCTGACATTTCCTAGGGTACCAGAGCGTTCCCACGCGTTTTTTAGAATGTCGCCTAGCTATCGAGGTCTAGCGGATCGTTCTCGGTTTTTCTGCTGCTAGCGCTTTTGAAAGGCGGAATGACAGCTGGTTTTTAGGTTCTAAGCTCATACTAGAAATTCTTACCCGATAGTGCAGCTCCTTCTCAAGCAACGAGCTCAACGTCGACCCGGTTTGGGGTAGCTGGGCGGCAAGCGAGGCGCATTGACGGACCTCTTGGAGCTGGAATCAGGTACTTTCGAGTATAATCGAATCAAAAACAGATTTAATGAAATCATTAGGAAGTTGACAGGGTGCAGTAAAAACGTCGGCGTACACTGACTGTAATTCCAGATGCTAAGGATCGCGTCACGCAGGCTACGCATTTAGAAAAATACAGGAAGTAAGCGAGGAAAGTTTTTTATCATGCATTTTAAAGGTACAGGCAAGTAGAGAGTAAGTAAGATCCGATACCTTTGTAGCTAATTTCGTACGTATCACTGGTATGGTGACTGCATGCGCGTCACTTGTGCTCCCGCGATCGGCAAGGGACAGGATTTTCAAGGGTTGAACGAGTTCCTGGACGGCGTGACCGTCGGCCTGAAATACACAAATTTAATTTTAAATGGCATAGCCAATTAAAAAAATGGCAGTTGTATTACCGTAGCGCCAATAAGGCAGGCGTTTCTGAAGGTGGAAAGGCCATAAATGATGACATCTTACCATGTACAGCTTCTTCGGGTTGAGCTTGATCCTCGCGTTCTGGATAAGTAGCAGCACAGCGCTTTTGATGAAAATTACCTTAAAAAATATAGGTTTATATTATTATAATATACTTACTCTCTCCTGCTCCGTGCTACACTTTGTCGACATCAGCGCGTTCGGCTCATAACTGAAATATGCGGTTTTTTATTTGTTTTTTTTTGTGGGTAGGGTAATACTATTTTTTAAAAGGTATAAGGACTTATTATAATTTTACTTTACTTACCGTAACACAATCCATTCCAGCAATTCAGCAACGAGGGGGAAATTCGGTTCCCGAAATGAGTCGATAGAAATGGGCCTTGGGAAACCGGCGATCCGGCACATTTCACAAAGGTCTAATCGGTTAAATAAATTAATCTATGGAATTTAACTTACTCCTTAATTCGCGATACGACATTTTCGATATTTAGAGTTTCAATATGCGTGGAGGATCGTAATAATAGCCAAAAAATAGGATGCCGGGTCCGCGACAACCAGCTGTGGTGTGGCCGCATCGCCATGGCAACCGCGTTTTGAGGGTGCCTGGCTGGCAGCAAGCCCAAAAAAAGGGATAGGACGGGCGTAACTTAGACCTAACTGTAGTCGCTAATACGTTTTCCAAAATCCTTTATTACGATAAATACTGTGGCAAAAAAATCTATTTTTTAAGGCTTATGATTTTGTGTCTTTAACCTGTCCACATGGAAACCCTGAAACTCATTTATTTCGATGATTTGTTTCATTTCATTAAATTTTTGTGTAATTAGACGACTTTTACGTCAGCACTTTATTATTTTGTACAGCCACGGCCGGAGATCACATAATTAGCGTTACAAAGTTACGAAAATACGTTTAAAACAAGTTCTTCTTGAAGAGATACTTGTTCTCCAGTCTTCCCAGGAAATAATTCGTGTCCGAACCAAGATAAAGTCTGCCGTCCGTCGTCTCAAGAGCCATCGAGATGGAGGGCATCGTCTCGCCCTTCGGATCATGGTAAGACTCGATAATTCGACCGGTGAGAGGATCGACGCGTAGTACGAGACCGTACGGTGTAGTGAAGTACTCGGCGACGAAGGCCAGCGCCCGAGGGGAGAGTACCTGGAAAAGAGGGTTTGGATAGAGCGGGCAAAGCTTGCTGGCGCTGTACCTTACCTGGTAAGCTGCCGGCAGCGCTAGGTAAACGTGTGCCCGTGCGTCGCGTGTCTGATTCTCTCTCTCTCTCTCTCTCTCTCTCTCTCTCTCTCTCTCTCTCTCTCTCTCTCTCTCTCTCTCTCTCTCTCCTCTCTATCTCTCTCTCTCTCTCTCTCTCTCTCTCTCTCTCTCTCTCTCTCTCTCTCTTTCTCTGCCTCTCTCTATCCTATCTTACTCTCTCTCTCTCTCTCTCTCTCTCTCTCTCTCTCTCTCTCTATCTTACTCTTTCTCTCTCTATCTATCTTACTCTTACTCTCGCTCTCTCTCTCGCCTGAGAGCTCACTTTTCTTATATTTTCGCCCTCCCCGATTTCCTAGATGCCGTTAATATCCCTCGAAAATCGCAATATTCGTAGGGTTTCAAAAATTCGGGACCTCGAGTAGCGTGTTTTTGGATTCTTAGAGCTTTAAAGTATACTTACCGTGGTGATAAAAGCTCTCAATCCGGGGCGCTCGGCTAGCCAGGCGTCAAACGAGTCGCGGATGGTAGGGATTGGGACGAGAAGCTGCCCAAGTTTGTCCATTCGGAGGTTATCAGGGTATCCGGGCAGATTGTCGACTATGGTTTCGGTCTCCAGTGTCTTGTAGTTGATTCTAAATTTACGATTTAATTACACTTAATCGATATCATTTTTGATCGCGATACAGTGATTTTTAAGGGACCGGGAAGCGCGATAGTCGGTCAAACAGCTACGCACTACGCCAGATTACAGGAGAGCCATTTTTTGCTTGCGCTTTCAGTGCAACTCTATCTTTTAAGACCTGGCGGCCGTGCTTCCTACCGCCTTTCAAACATCGCTCAAGATTTATATTAGCTTAAAAACCAACCTCTGTATCCGGGCCATGCCCATCTCCGAGTAAATAACATCATTACCATAGACTTGAATCCCATTAGGGAAATATAGGTTTTTAGCAAGGGCCTTCAGCTCTCCGGTTGCTGGCTTGAAGGTGAGAATTCTGAATTTCTTAATGTTTAAAGTTAAGTTTACTCAACCTTCCATTCGGCCGATGCTCAAACAGATCGAGTAAGAAGTCGCGATCGTCGAAGCGGTGGCTGCTTTCTAAAAGGTGGATTAAAAGGCGATATCTTTCTCATTATCTCTCCCTTAATCTTTCTCACTATCTCTCTCTCTCTCTCTCTCTCTCTCTCTCTCTTACCTGACATCACGATCCTTCCATCCGGAAGCACGTCCAAGTCGTTGAGGTAGCGGGTCGGATTTTTCAAGTCGTTGTTGACCTCGGAGCCACTAGCGAATAGGTTCGATACCTTTTCTAAACAATTCCCGCTGTGTTTTGGCATTAATAGTAGATATACCTCGATCCAAATCGATCAAAAAGAGCCCCAGATAAGCATCGGCTACGAGCAGTTCGCCCTTTGGAGTGATGCGTAGTCCGAGGGGGCGGCCGCAGCGAGAAGCCGTGCTAGAGAAAAATTTGCATGAAAGAGAGAGAGAGAGAGAGAGAGAGAGAGAGAGGAGAGGAGAGAGGAAGAGAGAGGGAGAATGTAAGAGACAAAGCGAGATAGCGCGTGAGAGCTACAAAACAGTACTACTTACGTATATGACCCATCGCAATCAGTGAAATTCGTTAGGGAAACCGCACGCTTGATTTCGGGCTAAAATCTTGTTCAATAATGCTTTCTTGCAAAAACTACCGTATCCCCATCCAACGCAATCTCACAAATCAGCCCAGTTTTCATGCTGGCCCAAAGCCGGCCCGAAACCGGGTGAATGGCCAGAGATTCGGGGCCGTAGATCTAGAAAATTGGTTGGAAATACCTAATAGTTTTAATCGTTTATGTAAAACCGCAAATCAACCAAGCTTTGGTCTTTAAAAACCAAGCTAGAATTAACTGAAAAATATGGGCTTTCTAATTTTGTTTTTGCATACCTGGTCGAGCAGCAGCCTCTCCGCTCTGGCGAGAACCTCATTTTGCTTCAGGGCGCCTTCAAATGGAGGGGCGGGAGGAAGGCTGAGATTGACAGGCTTGATTTCTCTTTCTCTCTCTCTCTCCCTCTCTCCCTCTCTCTATCTCTCTCTCTTTCTCTCTCCCTTACGCTCTCTCGCCTTATTTTTCTATAGCTGACCTATAACCGACGGGTTCGATCAGCGGCTTGGCGAATAAGTACGTTCCGGCACAGGCGAATACAAACGAAAATACGAGCGAAATCAACACTCCTTTGACGCTGATCAACTGCTTGGAGTCGTCGGGTTGCTGGAAATGGTTGACATTTTTATCTCTCTAACGTACTCGCACTTTCTCCTTTCTCCCTCCCTCCCTCTCTCTCTCTCTCTCTCTCTCTCTCTCTCTCTCCCTCCTCTCTCTCTCTCTCTCTCTCTCTCTCTCTCGCTCGCTGTTACCTTGCTAATTTTCGGGGCAGCTTTCTTGAGCGGCTGCTCCTTTTCGGAGTTCCTTTTTGGGGTAGCTGGTTTAGTCATTGCCAAGCTAAAAATGGATTTTAACGTATTAAAACTGAAAGACCGTAAAGATCATGGCTTAGTGATTACCAAGCCGAGAAAATGCCAGAAATTTCATAAGAAAAGAAGAAACGCCAGAAATTAGCAAAAAAAGAGTCAAGTATCTGACTGTAAAGTGTTTTTACTCAACTTGGAGTTTCGATTCGGGACCAAGTGCATCTTGTACAGAATTTTTCGCTGATTCCGAAGATGTTTTCCAAATTTGCTACGGACCGTTATTCTGAAAGTTATACGGCAATTCTAACCCTAGTTTTCACCAAAATGAAGGTATCGTTATAGTTTTCGATTTTCTTCATTATTTCAACGTCAAAATTGACTAGACAGATGGCCCGACAAGCATCCTACAGCTCAAAACAAGCATGTTAGCTAAAAAAAATGAGATTTTTATGCAAAAAGCAAAAGATTCGGGCGGGGGTTCGAACCGCCGCCCAGCGCTTGGCAAGCGAGCACTTTGCCAATGCCCCATGGTGCCAACTGGGTAGGCTGCTGTCAGAGGGTACTTCAGGGCCCCTTGGAACCATAGCCCCAAACAATGAATAGTGGGCCAGCGTCTGAATTTTTGGCATTTTTCGGCCTAATTGTAACCAAAAATGATTTTTTAAATAACAGTCCGTAGCAAATTTGGAAAACATATTCGGAATTAGCGAAAAATTCTGCACAAGATGCACTTGGTCCCGAATCGAAACTCCAAGTTGAGTAAAAACACTTTACAGTGAGCGAGTTTTAAGGATAACGCGAGATGCGAAACAAAAGGACAGAAGGGATTATTTAGCGTGCTAAAATCTGAACGAAGGCAGGAAGAGAATTAAGGACATTAAAATACAGATGAAAAATTGATCCATATGCCAAAAAAGGAGACGAGTCACCTGGGTCGAACCAAAAGCCGTTAGTTGACCCCTAGGTAAGGGGGTCCCCGTGTACCAAAGCAAACACACTTCTTACTCGACAAACAGTCATCCCCCCATCCGCCCACTACCCCGTGGGGCTACGAGAGAATACGGGAGGAACGCCGGTAATTTGGTGCCGCTCAGGTGGGTAATGGTTTTTGCAATAAATCCCAAAAAGCGGAAGTATAGGAGCTAAAAAGTGACAGAATCGCTACTTTCTTTTAGTATCGATAGCAGAGCGACGCCTAAAAACGCGCGGCTAATCATGATTTTTTTTTGCCACGTACCGAGTATCCTAAACCTGGTCCGCCTTGGCATGGGCCACCTGATTTCCGATCAAGCGGAAATTTTTAGGAGTAATGAGCAAGGTCAAAATAAAATAAAATAAAAGTCAAATAAAAAGTAGAATATAAGCAAAATAGGTATCGGAAACGCTTGTTGTGTCTTGCGCGGGCACACATAAAAATTACGTTCTGAATAGTAGGCAATTTCTGCAAGAAAGGACCGTTCTTGTGCCAGCCATTGACTCGTCCGTATCGTTCCCCAAAAAGGGATGAGAGGGACAGACAAACAGAAATGGTTATCGATTGTGGCGCTCCGCAACGGAGGGGCTGGTACCAACCCCACTATGTTCACATATCGGGAAATGCGAATCATTTTGGGGTGAGTAGGATGGGCTACGGGCTAGTGACATTCCATTGTGTGACCAAACGACGTTACTTAATAATTTATTTCCTTTAAAATCGTGATTCCGAATTAAACTGGAAACTTTTTGCACACAAAATTCGTCAGCATGGCCGTTTTCAGCGGGGTGGCTCGCCATTGGGCAAAATCAGCGCATCCGCTTTCTGTCGCCATCTGGGATTAGGGCTGACTAACATAACTTGGAACCCCAATTACTCTTTAATTTTTACATTATTACGAATGCGACTCTACCTCGTCTAAGAGATCCATATTTTTAAAGATGATCCAAATAACCCACGTAAATGGCTCCATTTGTCTGGTGATATTTATTACAAATATTTGTTACAAGAAGCAAAAACAAATTTACAACACAGGTAAATTACAAAAAAATCACGATTTTTCATTAGTTTCGCAACAATTATCGTTCCAATTACGAAAAAATCGGCGCCGCTATCGCGGCGCTGGTCTAAACCCTAATCAGAAATCGCCTGGCGGCGGTCCTTTTGGGAGTTCTCAAAAATTTTTCGCGCCCTGGTCTTGGCTACGGTAGTGGGCGGTGGGGGTACGGCAGGTCGGTCCGGAATATAGCAAACAGCCACCAGGTTGTTCGTACAGCTGACGGAATACCAGTACCCGTCCGAGCCGACCGTTACGCAGTTGTCAGTATTTGGGTTGACTAAAAAATTGGACTAAAAGAGAGGGAGAGCGGGAGAGAGAGAGAGAGAGAGAGAGAGAGAGAAAGAAAGAAAGCGAAACCTACAGATTGCCCAATTAAAATAATTGCCGGCAGAGCCATCAGAATATAGCCATTTTCCACTCGGCTGCCGTTGCAACCCAATAAAAGCGGCTGAATATCCCTGTTGAACCACAAATGCCGTAACGGCCTTGTTGTCAAAAGCGTTGTGAACCGAAGCCAAATGCCCTCCATTTGCTTGGCAAACAGCTTCGGCGGCGTTGAAATTGCCTGGAATGGTACAGAGCTTTAAAGGGACTGAGAAGTGCGCGAATCGACCTTTCCTATTGACTAGGTCTCGACATCTACGCGATGTGTCAAGAATTTTGTACTTGTCCGGCCTGAGTGTTGTTGATTCCCGCGCCTTCATTGGCTTTTAAAAGGACAATTTTAAAGAACGCTAAATCCTATTGTGACACGCGACGCCGCACGCTACGCGACACACGAGAAGCCTAACAACACGCCACGCGGCACGTGACGCGCAAGCCGCTTCATCGCAGTAAAGGAGCAGTTACCAATTACGCAATGGAAATGCGGAGGCGCGTCATGTCAGTATGTCCAGATCTAACCATCTGTAGTGCGATCGCTACGCTACTCCAGCGCGACGCAAAGGGGAACGTGACGCGACTGCAATGCTACTACAACGCAACGCAACTCGACGCAACTTCTTTAATCGAGGGTTAATTAAAGCTCATGAACCCAATGTTTTTATTAGCAGTTCAATCATCATTACATAACAACAATTCTCGACATGCATCTATGATACTTACTTTTCGGGATCGGCAGGTATTTAGCAACTGCGCTGACAATGAAAAGTGACAGCAAGGGTACAAGCAGCATGCTCAATTCAGGACTTGAAAACGCAATAATCTCTGCTAGCTCCGAATTTATATATTGACTCGGCTTATCTGTGCCACGTAGCCTGGTTCAATGATCCCTGCGGGCTGCGTCCAGTTCCACCAGGTTTTACCCCGTCAGATTTTTCGCTTAATCATCTCACGAATCTTTCCGGAAGCGCCAGTGATTTGGATTTTGGGCTTTGATAAGCTTGAGAGAGAGAGGGAGAGAGATAGAGGGAGAGAGAGAGGGAGAGAGAGAGCGAGAGCGAGCGAGCGAGCGAGAGGGAAAGTTTTCAAATTTTGCTCGATTTTTTCGCCATTGTAGCCTTGCATTTCTATACTTTTGTGAATTTTATTCCTCTGTAGACAAAAATTTTTCCGGTGCAAAATTATCCCGTTTATTTCCATCCTTTCTCGTCTTTCTGGAGTTTAATTTCCAATGTACTTCTCTTCATTTTCTTGCAGACGAAGTTCGTCAGCGACGCCGGCTTGGAGCCGGTCACGCGCCAGAGGGAGAAATCGGAGCATCCGCTTTCGGTAACTAACTGAAATTTCAGTATGCTTAGTTAGTGGTAATCTTGCTCTCTCTCTCTCTCTCTCTCTCTCTCTCTCTCTATCTCTTTGACTCGGCTTATCTGTGCCGCCTAGCTTGGTCCAATGGTCCATGAGGGCTGCGTCCAGTTCCACCAGGTTCTACTCCGTCAGAGTTTTCGCTTAATCATCTCAAGAATTTTTCCGGAAGCGCCAGTGATTTGGATTTTGGGCTGTGATAAGCTTCGGTTCAACACTGATCACAAAATTGGGTTGGTGCTTTGGGTAAAAAAGCCAACGGAGAGAGAGAGCGAGAGAGAGAGAGAGTTTTCAAATCTTGTTCGATTTTTTCGCCATTATTGCCTTGCTTTTTATACTTTTATGAATTTTATTCCTCTGTTGACAAATAATTTTCCGTTGCAAAAAATCCCGTTTATTCCCATCATCTTCTCATCTTTCTGGAGTTTAATTTCCAATGTACTTCTTGCAGACGAAGTTCGTCAGTGACGCCGTCTTCGAGCCGGTCACGCGCCAGAGGGAGAAATCGGAACATCCGCTTTCGGTAACCAGCTGAAATTTCAATATGCTTAGTTAGTGGTAGTCTTGCGCTCTTTCTCTCTCTCTCTCTCTATCTCTCTCTCTCTCTCTCTCTCTCTCTCTCCCTCTCCCCTCTCTCTCTCTCTCTCTCTCTCTCTCTAACTTACATAAATCGCTCCGTTCACCGGATCGCCATGGCCGTAGAAATTAGCGTAGGTGAATGGGGTTCCATCAGACCAATAGTTGTATCCATTAGCGACAATACCTAAAAATCGTTTTCGAAGATTTTATGCAAATTCCAGTACCTCCAGTCCAGACCGAGTAGTACCAGGGGCTGGCCTGGGTGCAGGTTTGAGTGTAGCGGAAGGCCAGACCTAAATGGGTGGGGTTAGAGAAAGAGGGAGGGAGAGAGAGAGAGAGAGAGAGAGAGAGAGAGAGAGCAAGAAACTCCCTACCCAAAACGAATCCATTCTCCTCGGCGCTGTGGATCGACGTCAGGTCGGCCCCCATCTGGGTGCACGTGGTTCGGGCCGCGTCTACCGTATTGCTAGAGCCGACCTAAAATACACTGTTCATACCGTAATCCTTCCGAAATGTACCCAATAACACGCTCCACTAGTCGCAAAGTAGCTCCAGCCGGGCGGGCATTGGTAAGTGGGTGGGCCTCCTCAAAAAAAAAGTGGAATCAGCTTGGGTTTTAAAGGGGCTACGAAATGCCAAAGATTGAGTGACAGCCCGAAAATCTGAACCCTGTACGTCGGAGGCCTCTGTACACCTAGGGGAGCGGGAAGCTCGCTAATTTGAAATTGTCTGTTGTCACCTCGAAATCACGTTCTCGGCTGTTTCTGGGCCAAATTTGATGATTAAAACACCAAAACTATTTAAAATTGAGTGAGGATTTCAAAAATGGGCTCAGGATGCGCGAATTTGAGTGTTTTCACAAAGAAACCGGGCAAAAACAACTTGGCGCAAAAATCGAAAGAGTGATGGCTCGCGTCCCGCAGCGCCCGCTGGCAATTTGCCAGAAATCAAAGAGCCCTCCCAAAAGGGCTTTGATTTGGCAGTTCGGAGCCCCTTTAAAGGGGCAAGAAAGGCAGGTCCACCGATTTTTCTGGCTAGCGGTTTTTAATCATTTACCATTATCTGCATATTACCGAATTGTATCTCTAATTCGTGTTTGAGATTGTTCACCCGTTGTGGGGGTGTGCGCCGATCCCGACGGCATGTGCAATGCCGGGACGACGCTGTTTGGCGAGAAGCAAGCTTCTGCTAACCGAACCATTTCCAAAAATATGTTAATCTCGTTGTACACAATAGTGTACGTATCGGAGATTAAGCCGATAAGAACATATTAACGTTTATTAGCAAATTCTCGGCCCGAGGGCCGGATAATGCGGCAGTAAAACAATCTCGAAAGAATACACGAAATGACACGCAGGTCATTTAAATTAGGGGCTTTACAACATTTTCAGGGAGAAATTGTGGGAATCTATTGATCACAAATGGATGGGAGATTCGGGAGGGGGCACGAAAAATTTACATTTTAAAAGATAACTAGCAAATGGATATCGCTTCATTTATGCTTGGTATTGGCGGTGGGCGGTGATGTGCTCGACGTAGGCATCTCTTGACCACTTCAGCGCATCGGCGACCATCAACTTCTTCATCAGCGCGGCGTACTTGACGGAGACGGCGAGTCGGCGCAGCACGTTGTCGTTCTCTTGGTCCCATCCGCCGAGTGGCCCAACGATGAAGGCGTCCAGGAACGTGTCGTAGCCATCCGCGTTGAACTTGTTGAAGATGTCGGCGTACTTGCGGAGCTTCTCGGCACGTGCGGCAGCGAAGACGCTCAGGTCGTGGTTCTCGAACGGCATGGTCACGTCCACGATCGTCACACGCTTCTTCACATGGTCGACGAGGGCGAGATCGGGACGTAGTTGACCATCAGTGCCGGGGATCTTGACATTGACATATTTCGTGGTGGTCGCGGGCAGCTTGATGGCGTTGACGAGGCGGTCGAGGACGGCGTTGTGGCGCAGGGTGATGGCGTGGGCGTGAGCAGGGCAATGACACAGGACGTGGGCGACACTCTCGAGTTGGTAGCCACATCTTCGGCAGCGCTTGTCTTTTTGATCACGGGCACGGTTGCAGCCATTTAGTGGAACGACGTCGAGTCTTGCACGGTGAACGAAGCGCCAGTCCGCAAAGCGGATATAGCGTCCGTCACGCAGGAAGTAGTTGGAGACGGGCTGGTGGGCGGTGATGTTGTAGACCTTGCCCTGGCTCTTCTTGGCGGTGAGGTGAACGAGCTGAGCTTGATGGACGGCGCGCTTGAGCATCCTTTCACACGTCTTCTTGGTGACACCACATCCGAGCACGAGCAGTTGGATCTTGTCGTTGCTCCACGCCCACTTCACATCGAGCTTGTCGGTCTTGACGAGGTGGCCGGTCGCTTGTCGCACTCTTGTCCACCTGTTGCGGGTGTCGGCGTAGTATGTCTCGAAGGCGCCGTCAAGCTTCTGGTTCAGGTAGTCGGCCACTTCGGAGTCGGTTGGAGCACGCTTGATCTTCTTCTGTACAGCCGTACGGAGCAGCTGAGCAGTCATTGGGCCGAGATCAGTCGACTCCAACAACTGGACAGCATGCACCAGCTGCATCACATCGGCGAGGGTCTTGGTCTGGATGAGGCCGAGGCCTCCCATGTTGTGCGGCAGGTAGACGACTTCGGGGCTAGCTTGACTCGGGAGGCTCATCCACGACTTGGCGAACTTCTTCAACTTCTTGTCGAACGGGATGAGGTGCTTCTTCTTCTCGACGTGGCCATTCTTCAGATGGAAGGCGATGCAAGGCAGGATGAAGGTGTTGACGGCGTCCGCTTTCTGCCAGGGGGCGAGTAGAGAAGAGTGGATTTTGTCGAGGCACTGGTGCATCTTCGTGATGGTCTTGTCTGCAGAAGAGCCTTGGTAGTAGCCGGTGGGCACGCCGAGATGTTCGTAGTGGTCGTTGGAGTCGAGCGTCACCATCCTGGATCCTTGAACCTTGTACTCGATCGGCATGGTGGTGTGCTTGTTGGAGTTGATGACGAGGCTGGCACACTTTTTGCTGTTGAACACGAGACCGAGCCATGTAGAGACTTCGGACACGGTCTTGAGCACGGCATGAAGGTCATGTGCAATGCCGGGACGACGCTGTTTGGCGAGAAGCAAGCTTCTGCTAACCGAACCATTTCCAAAAATATGTTAATCTCGTTGTACACAATAGTGTACGTATCGGAGATTAAGCCGATAAGAACATAAACTACAAATTGATCTAAGCCAGGGGCCAGAAGCGATGTAGCTGTGGTGAGTAGTGTGTATTTCCGGTGGGGAAGTGGGCCAGGTGGGGGGGCGAGTCGCGATGGGGAAGGGGACATTGGGAGAGCGCACAACTCGGGGATGGGGGAAGGGGGTCTGATCCGCGATCTGCTAAAATTTGCCCTTCGGGCATAGTCTGGCCCAGTTATCTGTTTTGTATTTAATTACCATTAATGCAGGCCTTAAAACTACGTTTGACAACAGAAACTACTAGCTGAATGAAAAGCTGAATTCAATTTTTAGTATCTTTTTAACTGCCTTACTTGTTGGCACCATCGTAGGCAGGGTAGGAATGGTGGGAATATCCGCGATGTAGCAAACAGCGGTCTCAATATCATCACAGCCGACCGAATACCAGAAGCCGTCAGTGCCGACCGTGACACAGTTTTCGTTAGTAGGATTGTCTGGAAAATAGGGCTATTGTGAGCGAGGGAAAGCGAGAGAGAGGCAGGGAGGAAGAGAGAGCGAGAGTGAGCGAGCGAGCGAGCGAGAGAGAGAGAGACAGACAGAGAGAGAGAGAGAGGCGAGTGAGAGAGACGAGATGAGAATGCGATAGATATGAGTCAGACTTACTTAGAGCCCAATTAACATAATTATCGGTAGTCCCATCGGTATATGTCCACAGTCCACTCGGCTGTCGCTGCAACCCAATAAAAGCCGCCGGATAGCCCTGTTGATTCACGAAGGAAGTAACGCCCTGGTTGTCAAATCCACTGTGGATAGAGGCCAGATGCCCTCCATAGGATTGGCAGTACCGCTCGGCAGCGGCGAAGGTATCTAAAAATTGGGGTTATGAATGGTGGTTTACGGGTAGAAAGAGGTACGCTTTTTAGACCTTTCTGTTCGCAAAAAACGCCAGCTCGAGCATCGAATCGGGACCCTGCCAATGTCACCCAGACGCTCTACCAACTGCGCCAAACCCGCCAAGCGGCACCGAGCATGCTAGCAAAGACCTTTGAGGGGCCGCTAGTTCTATTGTGTGTTCGTTGGAATTGCAGGGGTAAGATAGCAGAGATTCTTGGAGGAATTAACAGGTTGACTAGTAAAGATTGTTTGGGAATTTGAGAGCAGGCTGGCAGGGATTTTTTTTATGGAAACGAAATAACGTTGGCAGATCCCTTCGCGGCTTGCAAGGTCCTTTAGGGAAAATTGTAAAGCAAGCTAGCAGAGCTCGTTTCATGAATCAGCGGGGCAGACTAGCAGAGGTTCTTTGAGAAATTGAGGGGCAGGCTAGCAGAGATCGTTTGAAAAATCCGGTAGGCTAGATTAGCAAATAGGCTTTGGATTAACAAGTTAGCAAAGATTATTTGGGTAATTTTAAAGGCAGGCTAGCAGAGATATTTGAGGCATTGGAATGCCAAGTCAAGAGACATTTCAGAAATTTCAACTTGCAGGGATTCCTTAGGAATTATGGAAGAGGCTAACAAAGATTCGTGAGGAATCATGGAGGCAGAATGGGCCCCCAAGAATTTTGCGGGAATCTAACAGGCAAGCTAACAATGATTCTTTGGGAATCCTGGAGGCAAATTAGCAGAGTTCCTTGAGGAATCCTACCGGAAAAGCTACATAGGATTTTCTCTATTATCAGAGAGGATCGGCAGGGCGCATTTTATGAAATTCAGAGCTAAGCTAGTAAGAAAATGATTTCCGACTTTACCGGGGCAGACCAGCAGAGATCCTTTGAGAAAACTGTGATTTTTTTCCTTAACTTACTCAACGGCACCGGCAAGTAGCTCGCTGAAGCCCCAGCTACAAGGAGCGAAGCCACCACAAGCGAGAGCATCCCCAGAAATACGTCGTTTGGAAGGGCAAAAACGCTGGAAATGGGCAACCTGTGGCCCCGAGTCGTAAACTTATAATGCTCCCGTTATCACCATTATCTCCGGCTGCTTGGATTTGTCATTAGGAGCCCAGCGGAGTTTTTTCCAGATTCGTCACGTTGCCCACCACCACCCACTCGAAATGGCCCCGGAAGAAGCTGCAGAGAGAGAGAGAGAGAGAGAGAGAGAGAGAGAGAGAGAGAGATAGATAGAGATAGAGGGAAAGGTAAAGAGAAAAAGAGAGCGAGAGCGAGAGAGAGGGAGAGAGAACGGGAAATCGAGAGAGAGAGAGAGAGAGAGAGAGAGAGAGAGAGAGAGAGAGAGAGAGAGAGAGAGAGAGCTTTTGTATTTTGGGTCCCGATAACGGGCACAAAAGACGAGAAGCGGAAGGCCATACGTATGTCGAATACGTAGAAAATTAAATGTGTGCAGACGAGGTCCACCTGATCTACTAATGCTATTCTAGCACATTTTAAGCGGCTCCGAATTCTCTGTTGTATGATATTTGGCGATTTTCTGACATGATTGTGATTTTTCACTTTGCATACTACTAGGCAAGGTGCATTTTACTATAACGAGTTCTATAATCAGGGTTTTGCTTGTATTTTATGTTTCAGATTGTTCACCCCTTGTGGGGTGTGCGCCGATCCCGACGGCATGTGCAATGCCGGGACGACGCTGTTTGGCGAGAAGCAAGCTTCTGCTAACCGAACCATTTCCAAAAATATGTTAATCTCGTTGTACACAATAGTGTACGTATCGGAGATTAAGCCGATAAGAACATAAACTACAAATTGATCTAAGCCAGGGGCCAGAAGCGATGTAGATGAGGGGAGGGGGTGTATTTCCGGTGGGGAGGTGGGCCAGGTGGGCGGCGAGTCGGAGCGGGGAAGGGGACGTTGGGAGAGCGCATAACTCCAGGATGGGAGAAGGGGGTCTGACCCGGAATCTGCTAACGCTTGCCCTCGGAGTATACTCTTTAGCTTATAGCCTCATTGAAAGCGGCATACGGTTGTCGGAATGCAGGAGATAATCTGATGCTCACATTTATTCCGTTTCTAGCTTTGAAGCTAATCCAGCCGATAGGAGGGCCACTTTTTGCAGACGAAGTTGGTCAGCGACACCGTCTGCGAAGGGGTGATGCGCCATTGCGAAAAATCGGTGCAGCCGCTTTGGGTGATTAGCTGAAAATTGAACTGTCGCTCTCCGTTTCTCTCTCCTTCTCTCTCTCTCTCTCTCTCTCTCTCTCTTCTCTCTCTCTAACTCACATAAATCGCTCCACTCGTTGGATCGCCATGACCGTAGAAATTCGAGTAGGTGAACGGGGTCCCATCAGACCAGTAGTTGTATCCATTTGAGGCTACTCCTAAAAACAGCTTTGATTTGTTCGATTCAAATTGAAAATCAAAGTTAGTTTTTGGAACTACCGTACCTCCAGTCCAGACCGAGTACCACCAAGGGCTGCCCTTCGTGCAGTTTTGCGTGTAGCGGAAGGCGAGGCCTGCAGGTTTCGTTAGAGAGAGAGAGAGAGAGGGAGAGAGAGAGAGAGAGAGAGAGAGAGAGAGAGAGAGGGAGAGAGGGAGAGAGGGAGAGAGTGAAGAGAGCGAGAGAGAGAGAGAGAGGGCGAGAGAGATAGAGAGAGAGACATACCCAAAACGAATCCATTCTCCTCGCTGCTATGAATTGACACCAAGTCCGAGCCGACCTGTTTGCAGGTAGTCCTAGCCGCATCCAAGGTATTGCTGGATCCAACCTAAAAGAAGCTTTTCATACCGTAACCCGTCCAAAACACACCCAATAACACGCTCCACTAGTCGCAAAGTAGCTCCAGCCGGTCGGGCATTGATAGGAAACTGGGCCCACTAAAAACACGGGATTAATCTATTTGCAAGCTTTGAAGTTCTAAAAATCGAAATATACAGAATCACAAAATAGATAATTCCAGGTCCGTGAAAAGATCCCCGGGTTTAGACCCCCCTCCCCACCAATTGGTTGCGCGCTCTCCCGATGTCCCCTTCTCCACCCACACCCGCCACCTCCCTGGACCACTTCCCCACCGGTAATACACCCCCCTCCCCTCATCAACATCGCTTCTGGCCCCCTGGCTTAGATCAATTTGTAGTTTATGTTCTTATCGGCTTAATCTCCGATACGTACACTATTGTGTACAACGAGATTAACATATATTTTTGGAAATGGTTCGGTTAGCAGAAGCTTGCTTCTCGCCAAACAGCGTCGTCCCGGCATTGCACATGCCGTCGGGAAAGGCGCACGCCCCCAAGCGGGGTGAACAATCTCAATGCAATCTAAAAAAAATCCAACACGATCGAAAACAAAGCGCTACAAATCTGCCTAGATAGAGGCTACACCTTACACACACCAAAGGAGCGTCGCTAGTAGTATAAATTGATCTAACCTATATTGTTTATTTTTGCATCCCGTGAATCATCCGCGTGATCCCGGAATCCTTCTGGTCCGGGATTTGACGCGCGCTGCACGCTGTGGCACGCTGCTTTAATAATTATTCACGGGCGGTTACATAAACATTTCCGGATATAACCTGTCCGATTCTCATAGGCAGTTATCGATCCCTTTAGCCTATTAGAAGCGTACGTTAATTTTGTGCAAGTATTCTGTAGCCGCCTAGAATCTGCGGTTAATTCGTTAATTCGTCGTCTCTATCAGGCCCGTAAGAGTGGGGCGCAGGGGCGAGCCGCCCCCGAAATCGGCCGAAGGCCGAAAAGTACATAAGGGGGGACCCTTATGATTTAATTTTTCCAAAAATTTTTTGCCTGCGGCGCTGTTTAGTCTATTTTTAACACTAGTTTTAGTGTTATAAACCCTATGTTTTCACAAATTTTGCCTGCGGCGCTTTAGTTTTAGTCATATTAGTGAAAAATTTTTGGGGTCGCCCCGAAATCTGGGTTTGTTACGGCCCTGGTCTCTATCAAGGCCGTCCGCGCGCTGTTATGCCTATTTGCGGCGACTATGTATGCATTGATTTTTTTATGGCTTCATATTGTTCACCCCATTTGGAGGTGTGCGCAGATCCCGACGGCATGTGCAATGTCGGGACGACGCTGTTTGGCGAGAAGCAAGCTTCTGCTAACCGAACCATTTCCAAAAGTATGTTAATCTCGTTGTACACAATAGTGTACGTATCGGAGATTAAGCCGATAAGAACATAAACAACAAATTGATCTAAGCCAGGGGCCAGAAGCGATGTAGATGAGGGGAGTAGTGTGTATTTCCGGGGGGGAGGTGGGCCAAGTGAGGGGCGAGTGGGGACACGAAAGGGGACACTCAGAGTGCGCACAGATGGGGGTCGGAGGGGGGTCTGATCCCTGTATCTGCTAAAACGCGCCCTCCGGCTATACTCTGACCTAGTTATTTTTTAAAGTACTCTGGACTTACTTGTGGGCGCCAAGGTCGGTGGGCCTACGGTAGGCGCATCTGGGATATAGCAGATGGCCGTTTGGATTTGTTCACATGGCACTGAATACCATAATCCACCGATGCCAATTGTCGTGCAGTTGTCGGATGAAGGTTGGACTAAATTAGAACATTAAATTTACATAAATATTATTGGAAATTTACTGCAAATTGTATAAGCTTTCCATTCTGAAGATTAGGCCTTCTGGAATTGTGACGTTCAGAAATTTCGAAATTCGGAAATTCGAAATTCTGAAAATTCGACCTTATGAAATGTCGACATTTTGACATCTCAACATTAAGAATTTCGACATTTGCAAATTAAGAAAAATCTATCGTTTTCATACTACAAATTCTGAAACCCACAAGCAGCCCAGTTGACGTAAATAGATGGTGTCCCATCGGTATATGTCCATCTTCCATCCGCTCCCCTTCTCAATCCGGTAAAAGCATCCGGATACCCCTGTTGATTCATGAAAGCCTCCAATTGATTATTGTCGAAAAGGTTGTGAATCGACACCAAATGCGCCCCATACGATTGACAGTAAACCTCGGCACCGTAGAAATTGTCTGAAAGGTCGCAATTTGCATTTGGAGGCGGGATCTGGATTGCTTTCAAACCCTTGAATTTAAGTGGGGAATGCTAGCAGCGACTCTTTGGGATAGCCAAGCATAAGGCAGGCTAGCAGCAATCCTTTGCGGAATCGAAGCCTCGGGCATGCTAGCCGGATTACCTTGAGGAAACCGGAGCATAAAGCACTCTAGCAGCGATCACGTGTGGAATCCAAGCATCGGGCGTGCTAGCAGCGGTTCTTTCAATAATTTTAGCGGCATCACTAGCAGGGATCACTTGTGAAATCTCAGCAAAGCTAGCAGAGATGCTTTTGGAAATCTGAGAAAAGGGCAGGCTAGCAGACATTTGTTGAGGAATGATTGTGCGGGCATGCTAACAGTCACTATTTTAGGAAAACGCGGACGGGCTGCTAGCGGAAATTCTTCTGGAAATCCGGTCCTAACTAGGGAGGTCCAAAATACCCGCAACACCGATCGGGCCGAAAATTTGTACACTTATAGAATCGACCACGCTGATAATCGCCTCGTTTTCCGAATTTGCTACAGAGCCTTAAAATTTGAGATATTAAAGTTTTAAGTCGATTCTTCAGTTAAAATTGCCGAACTTCGGACTCGATTATTTTTACCTTTTTGGCAGATTTCCGAAAAACAAGCATCGCCATCGGATTCAGAAAAATTTTCTGTTTCGAATGAGCCCTCAAACTCAAGATTTTCGAAAACCCGAAAAATTGGAAACCGACGTCTTGGTTGGACTGCGATTTCTATGTGAATGGTAGAAAACAGCCTACTGCAAGCAGCTGTGGGAGAGCGTCCAGGTCCTCGGTGATTTAAGGAAATATACGATTCGAATCAGAAAAAATTCTCTATCCGATACGCTACGTAAAATAACTAGAAAATACAAAAAAGTTCGATATCCTGACAAACCCCTTCCCGGGGACCCAAAAATGACACTAAGACTTTAATATCTCAAATTTTGAGGTTCTGTAAAATTCGGAAAACGAGGCGAATATCAGCGTGGTCGATTCTATAAGTGTACAAATTTTCAGCCAGATCGGTGTTGCGGGTATTTTGGACCTCCCTAGTAAGACAGGTGGGCAGCTATTCTTTGGGGAAATCCAAGCGTAGGGCAGGCTGGCAGAGATTATTTGGGGTTTCCGAATATCAGGCATACTAGCAGAGATCCCTTAGAAATACGGGCAGGAGGCAGGCTAGCTGAGGCGCTTTTGAAAATCCAAGGCTCGCCAAAGTTCCTGCAAGAATTACGGGGTAGGCATGCTAGCACAGAGTATTTGAGGAATTGGTAGATGGACTGCTAGCAAAGACTCTTGGTGGAATTACCGTTTGAGGCAAACTAGCAGCGACTCTTCGAAGAATCCTACTATATATAAAAAAATAGTGTCTGTGCGTGTGTGTGTGCCACTTTGCATCCACTTCCGTCCGTCTGTCCGGAGGATATCTCGATAGGGGATGAATTTTAAAGTATGTTTCATACGTCATTAGGTGCGTGATGGCCTGGAGATGACTGCACGCATTTTAGATTCAACAAAATTACCTATTTTCGACATTAAATTTAAGTTTTTGTGAAAAGTTCTTTGTTAGAACAAATTAGCATAGACCGGAAGTTGGGATTCGACTATATAACGGGATAGGAGAGGTTGTTTTTCATTTTTTTGTCGTCCGAAAACAGGCCAATTATGCAAAGTGAAGGATAAAATGGAAGTCAGACGGGGCCAGGGTTGAAAAGTCGCGAAGCGGCTTTTCAACTCTGGTGTTCTATTTATTAACTTACTCAACGGCACGGGGAGGTATTTCGCTGAGACCGCGACAACATATAGCGAAACTAGCAAAATCGGCAGCATCCCATAACCCATTAATTCACAGGAAAAGCGACACCCCAGACCAGTAGCCGACTCATAAATTTATACAGACCCCTGGATGGCTTATCGGGGCTTATCTCATTTTAACACTCATCCATCCTTCCCGACCTTGTCATTGTGGGGCTGTGGGTGTTTCTGCCATTTTTTTTATGATACGGCACAGAACGCCCACACATCGATCGCTTGGGAGGTAGAAAAGAGCGCCCTCTTCCTTTTTGCTAAACATTTCGAGGCCGAAATCCGTCAAAATCCTATTGAAATCGGCAAAATTAACCTTAATTTTGATATATCTTCTTTGTTTTACAATATTTTGCTTAGAAAATTTGGCTGCACATAGTTTTTATGGGTCCCCATCACTGGTAAAAATTTGGTCCCGATTGGATGGAAGACGGCCAAATGCCGAGGGGGGGTTTTTGGGACACCCTGTACAGCACGACCACGGGGCCATCGCTCTTTCACATTGTCTACCAATAAGTATAATGCTATTAATTTCACAGTCACGATTTCTACGATACTGAATCTTTCTATTTGGTATATTGAGATTGTTCACCCGTTGTGGGGTGTGCGCCGATCCCGACGGCATGTGCAATGCCGGGACGACGCTGTTTGGCGAGAAGCAAGCTTCTGCTAACCGAACCATTTCCAAAAATATGTTAATCTCGTTGTACACAATAGTGTACGTATCGGAGATTAAGCCGATAAGAACAGTAACTACAAATTGATCTAAGCCAGAGGCCAGAAGCGATACTCTTGAAGCAAGGTGTGCCTATTTGAGGCGGAGAGGTGGTCCAGGTGGGGGGCGAGTCGGGATGGGGAAGCGAACAGTGGGAGAGCGCACAACAAGCGATCGGGAGTGCGGTTGGACACTCCTTCCTGATAAAACGTGCCCTCCGGCTATACGCTGACCTAATTGTTTGTTTTATCAAAACCAATAAAATAAACTCTAGAATTAAATGCCATACTTCAAAACCCTGTCATTTATATAACCATTAACTTAAATTACCTTTGCAGAGTATGAGCAAATTCATCATTTATTCCACTTGAATACATGTTCACATTGGGTTTTTCTTGCAAACATAGCTCAAAGTCAGCGTCTTCGAGGGGGTTACTCGCCATTTCCCGAAATCCGGGCATCCTGGCTCGGCTGCTAGCTAAAAACTGGCGTTTTTAGGTTGCTTTCAAAATGCCGAAACGAATACTTTCAAAATTGATAATGTCGATGCCAAAGAATGTCGAATTTTAGATAAGCAAATCTTTCGAAAGAAACCCAGATCCTACGCAAAATGTCGAGATATTGAAATTTCGACACTAGGAAATTCGGCGTTATGAAATTCAACCTTATGATTTTCGACATTCCGATAGCAAATAATTTTCTTTAGATCACAACTTACGTAAATCGCACCGCTCGACGGATCTCCATTTCCATAAAGATTCGGATAAGAAAATGCGGTCCCGTCGGCCCACGAATCGTACCCGTTCATCGCCATACCTAAAAATAATGATTTTTTTTTCTCAAGCCTCTCATTAGTTTCATCTTTAGACAAAATCCATAGTCCTGCCTTGCCGGTCCCTTTAACGAACCTCCAGTCCAAATTCCGTACGGCGCCTCCGGATTGCACTGCTGCTGGACGGGGGACGGCGGGGCTAGAGCTAAAAATTGAAAAAATCAGACCGAAATCTTTAGGATACCCATAATGAAGTCATTCTCCGACTTGGTGTGGATCGACGTCAGCCTGGCGTACATCTTCCGGCACGCGGCGAGGGCGTCGTCATGCGTGGCGGCTTGGCCTGGCTGAAATGAGAGAATTAGAAAGTGAGAGAGAGAGAGTGAGAGAGAGTGAAAGAGAGTGATAGAGAGAGAGACGGAGAGGGAGAGTGAGAGAGAGAGAAAGAGAGAGAGGGGTAGGGAGAGGGAGAGAGGGAGATAGAGAAAAAGAGAGAGAGAGAGAGAGAGAGAGAGAGAGGGAGAGAGAGAGGGAGAGAGGGGGAGAGAGAGAACGAGAAAAACGTAGCGTGATACGCAACAATATACGCAGCGCGATACGCAGGGCGATACCCAGCGTGCGTTCACGCAAATCCGGTAGGGAAAGCCGAAAAGCACATTGAACCTACCAAATAGCACTGGCTGGTCTCGGCCAATTGTGTCCACCCAAAATCACACTTTGGCTGGGCCTTCAAGCAGATCCCAAAATAGGTGGCACCGCAATTTGTTGTTTTCCACAAACCGTCAGATCCCTCCACCACGCAAGGGTCGTATGTCGGGAAGCCTAAGATAAATAGAGTTTTGGCCTAAAAGAGCCAGGTATTCTGATGCCGAAATTTCTTAAACAACCCCCTAAAAAGGCCATTAAGTTT